GGTTCAGTGCAGGGCTGTGTGCGATGGACCTGTGTGTCTCAAGCATTAGAAACTGTGTGTGGCTGCTGCCCGAGCCACCACGGCCGCTGCCACCCAAACCGTTGATTTATTTGGGTCTTCTGTGTCACAGATCTGACTGTAAAATGGAACTGGAGACCACTAAAATGCTGTTAAAGACAAGCTGCTAACCTCACTTCAACTGATCTTGAAATGCAAACAGGCAGCTACTGGCAGAGAAGGAGGGGAGAAGAAATGCAAGGCTAATGATATATTCCTTACATCCTGGTGTTAAATAGCCCTTCATTTGTCCTTCCAGTTTATTGAAATTGTGGTCACTTTTGTAGTTACGAAGGCTGGCATTTCTGGACTGTCATAATTCAGCTGTGACACTGATGTGCTGCTAGCAAAAGTCTTGCAGCAAGTAAAGTGCTTATGATAATGTCCATCTCCTCTTTCCCAAATGAGATGGGAGGATTTTTATGAATCTTTCAATATTTTGATCTAATTTCAATAGTGAATATATTATTTATTCCTTTAATGGGAAATGTAATGAGTTGGGATGGCTATTTTACTAGGACATCTGCCAGGGAATGGCTGTAGCTTAATGTGAGTGAGCAGTAATGGCTGCAGCTTACTGGGGACAGTGTTAATGAATGTTCTGCTTAGTAGAGACTTCCTTAACCAGTACCAAGAGATTTGGTGGTGATCAGTCACACCTCAGAAGCTAAACGAGTCAGCCAGGGAAGTGCGATTGTAAACTCATATGTACTATTATACTAAATAAACATAGAATGCAGCACATCTTCCCATGCATTTTTCACTCTGTTATTTTACTTTCTAAAATCTTGTCTAGGCTTCTCTTACCAATTTTTTAATATCCTTTAAAATTCCTTGGTCCCAAAAGTTTCAATCAAGTGAGTACTTACATGGTTGAAGGGATTAGGCCCAGACCACATTATCTATTGCCATTATTTTAACAGTTTTAATAATGTTTTCAAGTTATTTCCTATGTGGCTATTTCAATTTTGGTGCATGGGGAGGTTCATTCCAATATTGTCACTGGCAAATCAGGTAACACAACTTTGACCTTTTTTTGTTTATGCTGAGCTCATGATTGTTTGTTTTTTATGAAATATTTTCAGTCATGCAGTTGTTGTGCAGATTGAGGCTGTCTAGTGGAGTCCACCCCGAGTTTGTGTTGATCTGTCACCACATTTCTCTGCCATGGAAATGAGGGGATGAATCTGTGTGGGCAGTGGGAAGAAGAGAGAAGGACTTGTGTTTTTAGGAGGCAGTCAGTGCTGGCAAATGTTTGCTGGTCCTACATTACAGCTGTATCTTGAGACTTTTGGGTGTCTCATTTGCTACACAGATAGAATAAAGAATTTTTAATTAGTAGAGTTTCAGCTTGTGAGCACAAAGATACATGGAGCAAAGCTGAAGTCTTTTAAGATACATCACATTGCCTGCAGAACTGTGGTGGTCCCTTTTGAATGTGAAAGTAACAGGAAACTTGAAAAGCATGATCAAAAATGTATTGAAATATCCTGCCTGATGTATCTAGTCTTGATTGATCTTGAAATTATAACTCTTACAAAGGACATAAAAGTTAATAAAATGAAATTACCTTTTCACTTATCCCTAGTGGGCTATTTTACATGACTGTGAGTAATTTCCTGCATTGTGACCATCTATGATTATGGCATGAGTAAAGGTGTGATGTCTGCCAGATTTTCTTTTCACAATGCTGTACTTCACAATAATTCCAATGTGTATGAAAAGATGTGTGAGGAGTGGGCAGTTGGTACAGCTGGCAGGCCTGCACACCTGGCATCTGTCACACCAGAGCCACACACACCTAGGGATGAGGAAAGAGGAGGCTTTCCACTCTTGTTTTGGCTCAGTCTTTGGGAATGGGGGTGGGATTGGGCTGCCAGGTCCCATGAGTCAGAGGATCCCGAGTGCAAGGTTTTCTGTTGGTGAACATTGAAATTGTCAGGGACCAGCTCAATATTCACAAGTCCATGGAGCCTGGTGGAGCTCGTCTCAGAGCACTGCAGCACCTAGTGGATGTCATGGCAGGACCCCTTTTCACCACCTACCAAAGGCCTTGGGGGATTGTGGAGGCTCCTGCTGGCTGGAAGGTGGCCAGTGATATTCTGATTTAGAAGAAGAGTATGAAGAAAGGAAATCAGTGGTCTCTTAGTCTAGCCTCAGTGCCTGGAATTACAGAGGAGAATGTACTGGGAGCTGTCAACAGGCATTTAAAGAACAGTGAAAACATCAGGCACTGGCACTTGCTCCTCTTGCGGTGTCAATGCTGGACCTGAATGTGAGATTCATCTTGCCCTGGGATAGACACAAGGGATGATACGGGACAGGAGTTGAAGGAAAGGAGTATTTTGAAGGGTCCTTCCCTACAAGGTAGGCTTGGATATTAATCTCTCTTTTGGGTTGCTATTTGGGTTGAGTTTTTGAAGCTAATTTTGGGCTGGCTTTATCAGTGGCTTAAAAGTTTTGAACATCATAAGCACTGACCAAATTCGAGTGCTGAGGGCGAGGCCCCCTTGGCTGGTAGTGACTGTTATTTGGGTTGTACCTGTGGCATCCTGGGCCCTTCAGCCTTTGGTCCCACACGGCAGTGATTCAGAGCCCTGCTGCTGCCTGCAGGGAGGATTTCACACACAGCCTTAGGGCCTTGGTGCCTGACAGACTTTCCTGTGTTCCTCAAGGGGAACAGCCTTGGCAACTCTTGGCTGTCTCAAATTATTAAATGAGACTTTGTTTTTTCCTTCATTTTTTCTATCTCTTGCCTTCTGTAAAACAGAGGAGGAAAAGTCTTCTCTTAAAATGATGGATGTAGCTATGCCTCTTATTCATGATGTTATTACTTTTGCTATGATCTTAAATAGGATGATACCATGCAAGAAAGCCAAAGATTAGAAGAATCATTAGCTTTCATGAGTAATTATGGGGCACTAGCTGGGTCTCACACATTGTGAGAGCTGTAATTTGTAATAATGGTGTACCTATTAAGGAAGGAATGAGTCATAACTGAGGGTATCTTTTCTAAGAATTGCTTGCCTACAAATGCATAATAGAATAGTATTCCTACTGTGGCTTCCCAGCTGCTTGGCTGTGGGTATGTGCAAATCCTCTGTGCAGCCTGAAGCAACAGCAGCTGGTAGTGCAATTCTTAGAAATATCCCCAAATAAATGCCAGAAAAATAATAAGAAAGCTTTTGAGAAAAAGGATAATGGAAGTCCAGTAGTACAATCCCTCTAGCATAATATGATAGTGTGTATAATGCTTTTCTGGAAATTCTGCAGCTAAGATAAAATCTGATGCTGAATCCTGAGCACATCATTGTGTGATTTCAAAGTCCTAGATAACTTTCCTTATTCTAAACATCTCTTGCTCCCTGACATTCTGCCTTCAACTTGAGTAAATCACAACTTCAGTGCCAAACTTTTATTCCTTTCTTCTAAGTATGTACTTTTAGCAAAATAGTTATGCAATGCTATTTTTTCATTTGTAACTAAGATTTTATATCAATTTTTTGCAAGCAGGTGGTTTTTACACCCATGTTGTGTATCAACTCCTAAAGCCAACAGATGCAAGGAGAGCTACTTGTGGAATACACAACATTCTCTTAAGTAGCAGGTTTAAATTATTAAGTGTGAACTTAATAGTGAGCTATGAAGTGTGAGTTCTAAAAGACAAGGTTGGCTGGTTTAGCAACAAAGTCTGAAGAATATAAATGCTTGTTTTGCACGCAGCATGGATATAAGGAGTCCAGGGGAAAAAATATTTGCTCACTGACTGATTCTGAATACAGTATTTAAGTCTTCTTGGATTACAGCAGTCAAATACAGTGGTTTTCAGTGAGTGTAGTGTCCTACAGAGAATTTGGATTCCTATTCCCTAATCAAAGTGATGAGTGCACTAAAATGCAAATAAAAGTAATCTCATAGAAAGGTTGATTATTTCATCACACACAAAGCAGCTGATAGAGGAACACCTCTGAAGCAGTTATAGGAAAGACTCTTTGCGAGAATGGGAAGGAGTACCATATTTAATGATAGAAATGAAAACAAAAAAAGAAATGTTGATTGGCCTAGTTATAGTCATTTGGTTGCAAATCTTAAATGACAGCTATGTTGGGAACTTCTTCCAGAACAGTGCTAGCACCAGTCAGAACATTAAAATGTGTTTTTAAGTGCAGTAAAAATTACATGCGCAGCAAGAAGTCTTGGTTCAGACAATAACCCAGACACAGTACTTATGTGAAGTGCTTTCTTGTTAGGAGGTATTTTGACCTATTGCTGAAAAAAGCTGCAGTAGCAAGAAAGAACAGACTTCCTTGCTTTTTATACTTCAGCTGACTTAATTAAATTTCTTTCACTCTGCATATGTAAATATAAGCAAAACCTGGAGGATTTAGCTTTCCTTAGCGCTTTTTGTAGGGGGAGGAAGAAAAGGAGGTGCCAGTTCCATTTGACTTCGGGTTTTATGAATGCAAACTCATCTAAATGTTTGTCTGGTCCCAGATTCTTCCTGTGACAGTGACCTGCAGCAGGCATAGGAATAAAGCCTGGATACATTGAGGTTAGCCTGGGAGAGGGCTCTCTGCCAGCCAGTCAGAATTTAAAGGATTTCAAGTGCACAGACAATTCATGAAGGTACTCATCACTGAGTACTTTTAGTCATTTTGGAAAGGGAGGCAAAATATTTTGGCTGTCAAGTTGTTTTGGTGGTTTTTTGCTATGACAAGTGAGGCACTATGCTATTTCTTTCCCTTTTCCCCATCTCAAATTGTGACAATAGGTCTGTTTGTCATGATGACATGCAAAAAGGCCCTTTTTTCCAAGTGTTAAAAGTTGTTTTAAAGAAGGTCTGAAAGGTTTGTGAAAAAGGTGCTTCAAATCACACTGACCTTTTTTTCCATGGAAGTTCAGAGTGTTCAAAACACTCAGTTCTTGAGGTAAATTACTCTCCTGTAGTGTTTTGTTCAGTCTCGCAGATTCGTAGTTCTGATGTGGTGAGAATTCCCAGTGCTGACTGGAAATGGTGTCTTTTGTCCTGTTAAAATTAGTAACTCGGTGCTAGGAACATGGATCACTGTGGGGTTTTGTTTTGCTTCACTGTCAATAAAAGGTGTTCTACAGATGCTGTTGGGAGTGCTCACAGGCAATTCTTGCGTTTGTCCTAGGAATGCTGGCACAACATGTTCTTGGAAAACAGTCCGACCCTTTGTAAGCCTGGTGAGAAAATCCAATCTGTTCTTCCGAAACGAGCTCTGTCACAGTCTCTGCCAGTTCTGCTGCAGCTCCTCCTGGCAGTAATTAGATCATTTGTCTCATCTGGAGAGCTCAGCCTGCTGCACTTCACACAGTAGTGCTGAGTCCCAGAGCTCGTGTTTGAACAGAGCTGACCAAGTGTAAACCCGGAAGGGATGTCAGGATCCTTGTTCTGGGCTTCCTCCTTAGCCTTAAACGTTTCTATTCCTTCATGAACTTTCAGCCTTTACAAATCTGCAGGGCACAACCAGGAGGGAGTGAAAGGCTGTGAGAAACCGTGAGTTGCATTCTGATCCTTGTCCTTGGTGCATTGGATGTGTGTGACGTCCTGTGCAGCCGGGAGGGAGCTGCCCCTGTCCCCAAACCCTGCGGGCACAGCTGGGGCTGAGCCCGGGCACACAGAGCTGGGAACAGCAGCTGCTGCCAGGCTGGAGCTGCCCCTGTCCCCAAACCCTGCGGGCACAGCTGGGGCACAGCTGGGGCACAGCTGGGGCACAGCTGGGGCTGAGCCCGGGCACACAGAGCTGGGAGCAGCAGCTGCTGCCAGGCTGGAGCTGCCCCACGGGCTGTGCCTGTGGCAGAGCCAGCTCAGCCCTGCTAGCACAGGGTTATGTGTGCCTTAGGCTTGTACATCCACAAATGCTTCCTGCTCTCCTCCCGCTCTGAGCGCAGGCTACAGATGGAGCCACATAAAGCACCAGGCTTGCATTTTCCAGGCTGGTATCAGCATTTGCCAAAAGTGCTTTGGGATTGAGCAATGATTCCAATTAAATATCTGTTAAATCTTTAAAATTTTTATATTAAAAGTTAGTGCCATGCTGATTAGCTCATTTATGTTGTCTTTCTGAAAATAAATCTGCTTTTTAATTTACCATGTGAATATTGGTAGCCAGCTGCTTGGAAGAGCACATACAGTTAAAAGAGCATTGCACAAAAATTGCTGAATGCTTTCTTGTATCTGAGAAATTGGAAATAGATAGCTGATCTGTAAAATATACAGAAATGCAGTGAATAAGCTATGGTAATTAGAACAAGAGCAGACAGTGACTGAAGAGCAAGGTCAGCCAGGATTTATGAAATTTCCTGACTAAGGTAAGCTACAAAGAAACTTTTCTCAAAAGCGAAGCAAGCTGGAATAGCTTGAAATTGTGAGAAATTATGATGAATAAGCTAAGGGAGTGATGTAAGATGCCAGAGGTTTATTTTGCATTGATGTAGTGTGAGGTATTCATCGCAACCTTCCTGGACCATAAATGTCTTGTGATGCTTTGCTCGATAGAGCATTTCTTTAGCTAATATGCTAGTTTCCATCAGCTGCTCTTACACAATGTAGGAAAAAATGGAGAAGGCGGTGGAGAAGCTAACAGAATCATCAACTTTAGTTTGTAAAGGCTAAGCCAACATGGAAGTGGCTTTTATTTCAGAGTCTGGTCCAAGAAATTGGAATCTAAATGTTCGTGCATGTTCATGAATGAAAACTATTACAAAATTTTTAGTGGGGTTGGTAGGAGTATTCTTATTAACTCCAAATGCTAACATACATCAAATACTTATGATACACTTAGTGCAGAGATCCACTCTTGATTCAGGAAATGATCAGAAGCTGAATCTGCTCTGCTGGTGCTTGAGACTTGAAGGGTGGGTCAGGCAGCCCACAAGTTAATACTGAGACTTTGTCTTTGGGGTGTAAAGCAGATGTTTCCCTCAAAAACCTGGGGGCAGCCAGCCTGTGGGTGAGTTGGTTGAAAAGACTGTGTTTAACAGAATAAATTCTATGGATCATGGAGTGACACAAACAGTTCACAAAGTCATTGCACAACACTGGGGTGTTGTGCAGGAGGTTTGAGGAGCTCTGGTGGAAGCAATGGCAACTCTTGTGTTAAATTGTGTTCCTCATTTAACTGAGATAATTATGCAAATAACTTGTATCACTGTTCCTTGGTGCTAAGGAAGAGCTGCAATGCATTAGAAGAGATTCTAATCATTACATCTAATTACACTGGAATGAGAATTACTGGAAATCTTCAAGTGGCAATTATTCTTTTTATTATATTTAAGGCAATCAAAGCCAGAAATGCTGTGTTCATAGTTTATTACAAAAAGTCTGATGTAAGGAATATCTAAGAGCTTTGAACCTTCTGAAGCCCTAGTGCTTTTATATTTTTATCTTCTTCCTTTTTCTCTAAACCATGTAGGACAAGCAGTTCAGCTTAATCAGTGGTTTGAAAACCTACACCTCCACACAAGGCTTCCATCTCTTCCTAAACTTAGGTCTGTATTTTCTCAGCTTGGCTTTACATGGCTTTATGCTGGTTGTTTTTTTGCTGCACACAGCCCAGGTAATTGGCTGCTCTGAGTTGCTGTGATTGTAGCCCAGAAAATGTGGATGTGGCTCTTACAGAAGACATTCTGTCTGAAATGAGGACTCTGTTGGGCTGAGCATTCTGTGCACACAGTTATGTGCAATGATTGCCTGAAAAAGCCATCTAATTATAATTAGTGCCTTTGCCAAGCATTGCTCTAAACTGTTCAAACTACTATAAAATCACACTGTAACCCAAGTTAAGTACCCCACACACTGATGGAAAGCTATTGTGCTGGATTCTAAAGTAAAACTCTGAAAACATTAATCTGAACAGCTGAAAGAGGTAAATGCTGAAGCTGAGACCCTGCACAGAGCAAGCCTCCCTGTGTTATCAAACTTCTCAGAAGAGATCTTACGAGACAGATTTTCCCTGTCATTTGATTTTAAAGAAAGAACAATGCTTGAATAGTTACCTGGGAGCCTCAGCTCCTGAGAGGAGAGTAAGTCAGATGGATTCTAACCTGACGTTTTCCAGAATCCTTATGTGTTCCACGACAAAGGAATTGTATGGAGGCTTTCAGAAGGCAGCACATCTATCTCTGTTGGAAACTGAAAACTGCTCTCTGCAGATGTTTTCAGCAGCCCGTTACTGAGTGAGGGGTGGCTGCAGAACCACACTCCAGCACTATCATAGGGAAATGGAACCTGCACGTCCTCTCATGGGCCATGACTGACGTCACAACATCCCTGAATACTTGTCAGACTATCGGGTTTTATTTTTATTTTGGTTATCCTGAAAGTTCAGGGGTTTTTTAACTAGTTCTTCTTCCCACTCTACCTGAGACCCTAAGAAGGAAAGCTTCCCAAGGAAATTGCCCAATCTTACCTCTCTGTTCCTCTCATGGTAACCCTGCTCTCACCAAATTGTCTATCTAATTTGTTCCTGAAATTGAAGCTGGATCTGCATTCCTTCGAACAGTCCTATCTCTAATTGAAACATATTTCTTAACTACTGGTTTGGTATTTTTTACTTTGTATCCTATGTCTTTTAAGCACAGCTTTCAAAGAAAAGTTTCTTAATGAAGCACCATGTCCTATTCTCTCTTTTCTTCAACTTGTGTTGGGTGATTAGTACATTTATAATGATGCTTTCCTTGGTTTTATGGTGTGTATTTTCCAGGTTCTGTTGTCACGTGCAAGATAGGTTGTGGTTTCTTGGTAGCATTATTATAAATATAATAATCAACTCTCTGCCTAGACTTCTAAAGAGCCAGGTATTCAGGTTTGGACTGTTTAAAATCTGGAAACAGTAGTGCAGCTTGTTTGAGTCCTCTCAAGCCATGGTTTGCCTGTTGCAGTTTGAGTTCTCTGTCCTCTTGTTCAACACTGCTTGCCTTAGTCACTGTATCAGACCAAAAAAGGAATTGGAGCACCCAGTTTCACACTGCCCTCTGTCATTAAATTCTGTTCCCTGTGTACTTCCCACTAATTCCCTCAGGGACTGATCCTAAGGCTGCTCTGGGATCTTTAAATTCAGGGGAATGGATGTATTGCAGAGGCCTTACTCTGAGACCCACTGAGAAAATTAGGGGATAATAAAGGTTGCCTTATCTGTGATTGTGAGATGACAATTTACTCCAGGAAGGAAGGCTAACCCCATAAATCTGACTTTGGTCAGCCAGTGAGGGAACACCTCTGTGTGGTGTTGGGACCTTGCTTTCCTTTCCTCCAGGGAGAGAATTCCTGTCCTCTCCTGTCCTTTGGGCCACTCTTCCTCTTGGTTGTTTCGGTACACTGTGCTCGAGAAACTCCACCACATCTTTTGTCACATTGCCCAGCAGTTCCTCCTTATTTAGTGCTAATTTGTATGCTCTGCAGTGCTTTGTTTGTGAGATTTAGAATTCTCAGTACTTTTCTGTAATTTCCTATGTAATAGGATTTTAATACATAGAAAGCAAATGATCTCTTTGGAATGTTTAAAGCCCTAACCTAGCTCCCTGATTATCTAAGTATTTCCTGCTGCTGATAGCTACTTTTAAAGCATTTACTTTGTTTGTGGCTTTCATGGGAGTCTTTATTTGCATTTGGTGTCTGCATTAGACCTGTTGGTGTTTGGATCTGTTACAATATACTGTATCAGGGCATGCTTATTAGCACAAATCTTTTTAGTCTGGAAGATAAGGCTGGTGCTGTATGTAAAATATGGAAGTATGGAGCTGACTAGAGGTTTTACCAGCCGAGATATTTAGTCTAGAGGGTTTATGTTAGCATGACCACCTCTTCTGAAGCTGTAACAAGTATTGGTTGGAAGAATTTCTTTTAATAACAGTGGAAGGAAGGTGACCAAATTAAAAAAAAATCTATTTCAGTGTGAGTCTTGTTGCTTTCAATACAATTTCAGCTTGATTAAAATTAGTTTAAGTGACTTTAAACAGAAATTTGTACTGATGCAGTGAACATTTTTTGCCATCCTTTTTGTCGAGTTTCTTTTGTCTGTCACAATCTCTTCGGACTCTGTACATAACAAGAATGATCTATCATTATAATAATTGCTACTGCTGCTGGAATAGTTTCAAAATTGTAAAAACAGCTAGGCTTGGTAGGATAGGACTGTGCCTGTGTCTGAGCAGGGTTTCTGATTTCTCTAGTGGAGCCCATTTTTTGTGCATTGCTGGACCAGTTGGGTCTCACCACGCAGTGGCACTGAACCTCAATGCAGCACTGGCACAGAAAAGATGCCAACAAAGGAAAATATTAAATATTATGGAGGTAAAATATTAAAACTGGAGATGGGAACTTGTTAGGTTAACACATAGTACAGATATGGTAACCATTAAAGCATTGTTTCTTCATGTTTAACAGCCCATGAAACACCTCAAATGTTTTTTAAATTGCCCTTTGCATACTACATAATAATCAAAGGTATTTAAAGACACTGCACACAAATGACAAACATTTTTGTGCGAAGCTCG